AAGCGCTGATCTTTGCATGCAGGACAAATTATTTTCAAGCATGCTTTAGTAGGATGTTCATATTTGATGTTATGGACCAAATGTGTCTTGCCAAAATTTATATGCTGAAGCCCTACCCCCAATGTGATGGAATTGCAAGCAGGGATATTGGAAGGTAAATACATTTAGAAGAGGTTCTAGGGTGGGGCCTCTTATATTGGGATTAGTGCCCTTATAAGATGAGGAAGAGAGACTAGATCTCTCTCTCACTCTGCCCCTTTCAGCCCGCGCGCTCTTTCTCTCTCTCTCTAGCAAAGAAGAAGGCCCTCCTGGGGAACTGAATGGACTAGCATCTTGATCTTGGACTTCCAGCTTCTAGAACTAAACTAAATAAAGTAACTGAATGAATTCCTGCTGTTTAAGCCACCCAATCTATGACATTCTGTTACTGGCAGCCAGAGCTGACTAAGACAACTGCATACTTTAATGTTGCTCTGACAGAGTAACATTTTGACTTACTGATTTTACTTGTTGTTGCTGTTTGCTCTGATCTGAGCCAGTTCTTGCTTGTGATTTTGAGATCCTATCAGGTCGAAAGTCCTCATATTATTCGGTGGAGATAGTTATTTTTCAAATGTCTCCAAGTTCAAAAACTGGTGGTAGATTTCCCTAACTAAGGGCATTTAGTTTTCTTTATTACATTTCTCTGATAATTCATTCTGAACACTCGATCACCAACACTGTCTTCAATCACTTCATTTCTTCTCCTTTGCCGTGGTTCTCCACTGGGATCTTCGCTCCGTGAAGGTCAGGACTCGTTCTCGTTTGTTCCCCTCTGCACCTTCAGCCGCGAGCACCGTGCCCAGCTCTAGCAGGTGCTGAACGGATGACGGAGTAAAGCGCAATGCTGGGGCGGGGATGACGGTCACTGGGCACAAACATCTCGGAGTTATTGCTCTCTTGGTCCCTGAAAAAGCCTAAGGAGTTCTTTGCATGGTGTTTTCCCCAGGGTGTCTCTTTCCTTCTCCCTCTTTGTTCCTTGTTAGGATGTTGTCAAACTCATTTTCTTGCTTTGTTTTAAGTGGACCAATCTAAACTGATCCGTGTCCAAAAAAAGAAAACAACAAAAACCAAACCACACACACACACACACACACACACACACACACACACACACACACACAGAGACACCCCCCCCCCCCCCCCCAACTAAGCCAGTAAAAGGGATTCCCCAGAACTCTGGAGGAGCTAAAGAAGGGAACTGAGAAACTGCTTGGCCACAACTGTAGTATCAAACAGATAAACAGATTAGAACTTACACTTAGCACCAAGAAGTCTAGCACAGACGCAGAAGATAATGATCTCTGACTCTCCTTTGTTTTAGGCAGGCTACAAAACTAGGATCATTGAACACTTACATTTAGAAAAGAGGGAGAAAAGATTTCTTCATTAAGCAATTAGGTGCCCTAATTGCCTTAGTATGATGTAAATTTGCATACAGATAAGGAGAAAACCGTGGGTGGAGTATATGTAGATTTTCATAGTGTATGTGATAATTCAGTTTTCAGTGGAGTACCCCAACCATTTTCTTACAGGGGGAAACAGTATGATTAGTCACAGTTGGGGAACCAACTTGAAAACAGGCAATGTATAGTACAGTAAACAATTTCAGATGGGGAAATGTAAAGGGAGCAGTGTATAAGCCCATGTTATAAAAATGTATTTATCAATGAGTTTTAGTTCTAAATCTGTCAATGACACAAAACTTTCTTTAGAAAAAGATACAGCGTTCTTAAAAGGCAAACAAAACAATAATTTAGGAGCAGCATACCTATTCCAGATACCAAGAACAGAGAGAAATTTTCTTCCGTAGTACTCATATAGAAAATAATAAGTAACATATTGTATTCTTAATAGAAATTTCACAGTAAATAAAAATGTTTTATGGGTTTATGTCTATACCATCTGAAAACAGATATATACTTCAATGCCAAAGGTCAATGCTTACCATTTATTCTTAAATTTTATGAAGAATGATAGTAATCGTAATCATTATTAAATGTATCAGATTGATTGAAAAAAATTTTTTTTGTTTGGGAGGTAAGCTAAAAAAGATAAATGCAGAAAGCTGACAAATCTGTGTAAGTGAGGATAAAATTGACAACTAGAACATTGGAGAGGTTTTCAGTAATAGCAAAAGATAATATTTATCAGGAGCTCACCTTGTACTGGCTACTGTTCCAAGCACTTGACATCTTTTTTTGTTTTTTGTAACTTAGCCTCCTAACTGCTGTATAAAGTTGGTGCTATTATTATCCTCATTTCATTAGTGATGAGCTCAGATAATTAACTGTTCCAAGATTATACAAATAGTAGATGGTGGAGGTGGATTTAAACCTAAGGAGCCAGATTCAGAGCCTGTGTGCCTTCCTATCACTGTTCCAGGGGTCCCCATCAAATACATAAATGAGGAAGGGGTGAAGCCAGGAAAGATATCAAAGATCCAGAATATCGTTCCTTGAGAAAACTCTTCCAGGAAGAAAGGAAAAAGAAAAAACAAAAACAGAGCATCAGGAAAAGAGCTAAAAAAATCAAACCAAATGTTGTTCTGCTGGTTTATAATTAGGATGTGTTTATACCCACATTTTTTGTGGGCAATTCTGGTCAAATTAATATAAATCGTAATCAATAGAATACGATTGGCAATAAAAATGGCCAAAGAGAGGAAAAGGGAAGTTTGGGGAAAGACTTGATTTTAAGAATAGAGGTTGAGAGAAGGCTGCGATTAGCATCTATGAAATTATAACTGACATGACTGAAGTGGATATGAAAATTATTCATGAAAATAGCTGGTAAAGTAAATATAGGACACGAAATGGATGCTGTGTGCCCTCATTTAGTAACAGACCCATGGCATTGTTACCCCAAGTGTTGGTGTGGGCGGAATATGTAACATCTATTGCTGTGTTTAACAACTTACTTAGAATAATGACAAGCAACTACTGAAAATAGAGATGGTTTCAGCCTGTGAGAGTGATGCCAGGGGAGGTCATCATGGGCCTTACCCAGCCATGTGTTTCTCAGAAAAATAGAAGAGAGAAATAGAACTGAAGTGGTCAAACGTGCCTTTGAAGTCACACAGACCTAGGTTTAAGCTCTGACTGTACGGTTCACCGAGAAGTTATTTAATCCCTCTGAGTCGCAGTTTCATCACCTGCCAACTGCATATAATCATACTTCACTGGGCAATTGGGCTTGGCACATAATTGGCGCTGAAAAAATGTTGGCTGTTATTATGATTAAGATGACCCTGTGTGTGTCTGTGTGATGTGCTCAAAAAAGCCTCTTTCTTCTGTTAGGCTGAGGATGTGGAGGGTTTCAATTTTATTTTACCCTGAGCTGAGATTCTCAGGCTCAGCTCTGAATTTCTGTTTGTAGCTCTATGTGCATGATGGGAAATTGCTGCAACCTCCCTTCATCTTGGGAAATAATACTTCTGTGGTATTCTCTTATAAGTGACAGCAGCTTGCATACTTATTTCTTGATTGCCTCTCCTTAGTAGCTTTCAATTACATATTGATTTCCTATATATTTTTTTGGAACTTGTTTTTTTGGTTACTTGGTTCATTTCTGATGATCCTTTCATGCCTATAAGGTGAGAAGAGAATGACATTGTGTGTTTGTCTTTCATGTGAGACTGGGTTTCTTTTGTTTGCCGTTTATCTCCTAGATCGAGAGCCTCTGAGTCTAGGGGCCGAATGTCCTGTAAGTAACAGCAACAACAATTCTCAAATAAACTTTCTGCAATGGAAATGACAAGCTGAATAAAGGACAAAGCAGTGTGTGCTTGTTGGGAATCACATGTTGCCCAGAACTTCAGTCCCTGCCCCATTTTGTTTAAATCAGGCATGTCAGGTGAAATGGCCCCGGGCCTGTGGGTGACACTGATGACATTTTGCTCAAGCAAGGTCAGCACTCAGAGTGGAGGGCTGCACCCTGGGGGGCTCAGCTGTGACAGTGGCCCAGAAAATTATAATTTATAAAATTACTTCCTAAATTTTAACAACACTTCTCATTGCTGGGCAAGGACATTTTTTTTGTCTTATTATTATTATTTTTTTTCTATTTGCTTTGTGAGCAGGTGACTCTTTTTCACGGATGACAGTTAGGATGGACCTAAGAGAGAAATAGGAAGGAAGAAGTTGTTCAGAACTTTGAAATTATATATTTCCTCTTCCATAATATTTATATTTCAAAGAAGCCAATAGAGACATAATTTTAAAAAGGGAGCACCAGCCAACACCAATTTATAGTGGAAAGCAAATAGTTGATTAGAATCTGAGACTATGACTACTACTTTGTTATTTTTATAAACTGTCATCTACCTTAAAAGACATTACTTTGGAAAAATGTATAAAATTGAAAACACATTGACAATAAAGCATGCTCACCCATCCTCTCTTTGTCTTTACCTCAGCTTCCAGTTTTCTGGCTACAGTCACAAAAAGGAATGAAAGGTCAAGGAAGAACAGCGTAGTCTCATTTACTCTTTAAAACGTCTTTATTTATATGCCTTAGCTGGGGTGTACCTGGAGCCCGGGGCTCGTCACCATAGACTCCTTGGAACTGTTGCTTCTGCAAGTCTCTCATCCATGGTTTCGGAAATGGAATCCACTCAGAAATGCAGTCAACATCCATGTTTGCCTTAGATTTTTTTTTTCCGAAAAGTATGGATTTAATTAACCAGGTAAATATAGCATGGAGAATTTCAGCTACAAATTAAAGTATGCTTTGAGAAAGAGCGCGCGAGAGAAAGAAAGAATCAGAACTGAGATGTCTACGTTGCGTGAACGAGGCTCCAGGCTGCCGCTCTTCCATGACTGTCCCCTGTGGGTCACCCAAGGCACGCACTTTTCCCCTCTTGTCCTTCACCATCCTGGCACCAAAACAGTGCCAAGATCACCTCTCTGCACCCTTTTCCCTGCATTTACCTTTGTGTTTGTCTTTTGTAGGCTGGTTTTGAAGCATTTTTGGTATACATCATAACCAACAATAAGAAGGAGGAAGTGGCTCAAAAGGAGTAAGGACTCTCCATTCAGAGGTGCCGCATCTAGGCCCTACATTATGGGTGAAACCCTTGTAAGTCGAGGCAAAATGCCTATTTGTTTTAAATTTTTTTACATTAAAAAAATTAACATTATTTCGGAGAGAATGTGTGAAGGTCTGCATGTGTTCTCTGCGGAGAGGGAAGTCTCCGGAGTGGCTCTGGGCCACCTTCCTCGGGGAGGGCCCCTTCTACGGGAGGGCGGGCAAGCGGAGTTCAAATTCCAGTTTCCTTGTTCCACTTGAACAACACTCAAAAGTCTACTATAAAGACTCTCTCTCCCCTCCTTTTTTGTTTTGTTTTGCCTTGTTTTTAACCATCTAATTAAAGAATTCTAGATATAGATTAACTTCTCTCCCTCTTCAGCACCCTTCCCACTTCCCACCCCCAGCTGTTTTCACTGCTGGGACAAAGCACCAGAGCTTTAATGGATTTCCTACTTTGATGATAAAAACCCTTGTTTTTCTTACAAAAAAGATTTTCTCTGCTTCTAACACAACTCTAATCTTGCTCTTCTGAAGTCGCTTTCCCTGCATCCCTTTCCCTCCAAGTTTCGGGAAGGAATACTCAAGCAATCCCCCTACCTTTCTCCTGGAAGTAGAAAAAAGTGCCTTTGAGAACCTGTCTGCTGAGTTAGGACATAGATACTTTTTCTACTCCACCCCCACCATTTTGAATTAAGGCTAGAAGCTTGATTCTAAGCCACTGCTGAGCCAAATCCTGGAGAGACAGAAGAGTGGAAGACGGGACAAGTGCTGAGGGAAAAATAACCGTTCTTTTGAGTAGAAAGTCTGGCCTTTTTTCCAGGGTATAGTTCAAAAGTGCTGACTCATTGGAATGAATCTGAGGTTCAGGTTAGAATTTTCTTCTAGCAGATTTTGTGATTAAACTCATTGAATAAACCCTTTTTAGCCTGTTGCATGGCATATACATAGAGATTAAATTCTGCACCTTCTCCAGCCCCTCTCACCTCTGCATTCATCCAAAACATCACTGTCTCATTTCTTTTTGCAAAGGGCCCCTGGAACCACATTTGCCTTGGTGTCCCGAGCACTTGGGCTGCGGGGGGAGCGACGCACTCCCCTGTCCTTAAGTGCCCTGGACAGGCAGCTTCCGTGTACCCAGGAGAAGCTGCATTCCTTGTGCGGAGGGCCCACACCCAGGCTACACACTCAGAGTCATGTGAGGCTCGAGGGCGGCAGAGATAAGGTTCACAGAGGGAAAAGATAGATTCCTCTTCTATCAGTCTATCATCGTCTCCTTCCTCAGGCAGGGTGCGGGGGCTTGCCGTTGTTTCTTCTGATGAAAGGAATGTGGCACTTGACTTACTCCACTCTTCTTCAAAACTCGGGGAAGGGTTAAGAGCCATTTCTTCCCAGAGGGGTTTCCTGACACCCACTCCTTCCCACCTGTGACTTCCTGACTTCCCCCTCAGTCTGCTGCTTTGTGTCCTTCCCTCTGTAGCTGGCTAATACACTATTGTTCCACTTTCTTGTCGTCTCTCTCCAGCCTGGGGAGCATTCCTTCTAGACATGGGACTCCAGGAGTTTTAATAAATCTTTGTAACCTCCTGTCTAGCACTTAATAGATAGATGCACAATTGTTAATTGAATGAGCAAACAAACTGTGGGAGCCCACAAAGCTCCTCTAACTTCCTGAACTGCACTGGTAAGCCACATTCGTGTTGAGCCAGACAGACCAAACCTAACACTTCTTAAAATAGGAGCTACTTTGGAGGAGGGGGAGGAGGAAAACCATGATAGAAATGGTCTCCTCGTAAACAAAGGAGGAGCCTTTGAAAGGATCAACAAATAAAAGTAAGCTGGCAATCTCTGTTTTACTGTAAATGGAGTATTCTAAACCCATACTCAGGCTGCCTTGCTTAGTTAGTGTGGGATAATCGCAAGTACACTTGTCTCAGGTTTGCACGAGTGTGTTTTCCTTCCAGTTCTGTGGTATAGTTGAAGCCATTAGAATGCTCGTATGATCTATACCAATTGTCTCCAACGTTTTAAACTGTGTACTCTTCTAAGTGAAAAATGTATCAACTTACGTCTTTTCTTTCTACATAAATTATGTGCGTGTACTACTACCACGCTAATGCACCATGCACATTATGAAACATCATACATATAAAAGACAAGATAAAAATGTAAATAGGAATCCCAACCCTTTGTTCTCAGGCCTAGATGGATCATTGGTGCATCCTACGTGGATGGCACACTCTAGTTTGGAGGTCAGTGCTACAGCGAGACCTTTCCCACTTCTCCTACCCATGACTTAATGACTTGGACAAAGTCAGAAATGCAGGAGTGGGCTACTCATTATGCTTCTTCTCCCTGTCTATGTTTACCTTTCTTCATCACATAACCTTGTTTATCTCCCAGAAATACAGAGATCAATGGATGGTACCCTTTAAGAGGGCAGTCATTCATTTGGTAAATTATATATTAATTCCTTCTAATCTCTACTATTTTCTGGGAAAATCTTATTGTATTGAATCATATTGATTCTTCAACTAAGGGGGGGGGGTTATAGAGTCATCTTCACCTTTGAACTGTGGAATTTTAGCAGTTGTAGGAATTTTAGTGGTGACCTCTAGTCTAGTTACTACTCAGGGACACTTGACAACTGAATAAAGAAGATTGGAGTTTCCTTAATATGGCAGATAGTCCTCATTGCCTGCAAAATCGACTTTCCCTCCTCTTCTCTAATTTTGTTTACCCTCTCCTGAGTGGCTGGCTGCTCAAAGGCGGCTGAGACCCCTCTCTAGCCCCGGGAGTGCCCTTGATCAGGGTAAGTCAGTGGCATGAGCCTTGCTAAGTGACTGGGTTTGTGCTTAGGCATCTGACATGGTCTGACCAAGCTTCTTGGAAAGCTTCTTTCACTTTAAAGAAGGGACACAACTGGTAGACACTCCCTTGCTACCTCTGACTCTCATCATCTCTATGGAACACGGATACTTCAGCAGCCAGCTGAGGGCCCTGGGGGGAGCTAGCCGACAAGGACAACCTGTGCAGGATGCACGACAGAGCAGAGACATGGACACAAGTGATGGATGGAGCTGTCGACTTAAGCACCTTGGGATTTCCTTAACTCTGGGCTTTGTGATACAAAAAATAATAAATGCCCTTATTGTTTAAACCACTGTTAGTTGCATTATCTGGTATTTGTAGCCAAATACATCTTAACTGATACACTTATCCAAAGGGGTTAGAGGTGTCAGAAATGGAACAAGAATCCAAAACTTTAAAATAGCAAGTACTATACTGCTTGGTTTTGATTTACAAATAAGAGCTTAAAATCATTAATTCATCCTGCAAGGTAAATTTTTCCTTTCACTTCAGGAACATTAGTCCCGTAAACTTAGAAGGTTTTGAAATAATAAAAATATTTGATTATAAGGATGCTTAGCTTCTTCTTTCCCATTGAATGTACAACTCTGGTGATGTCCTGATGGGCTTCTTGGAATACGTATTTATTTTTTTAATATTGAGCTCCTCATGCAGGAATATCCAGTTACACTATAAATTTCATCTATTGGCAAATATAAGTTGCCTACCGAGGCCTAGGCCAACAGGTCTCTCAGTGAATTAGTGGCAAAACGCCTGTGTGTGGAATCAGGGTTTTTGAATGTTCAAACTAAAATGCCATGTGATGCCGGTCCAAGCTGCTTTTGTTGCTGCCAATTAGCTGGGACACTCAGAAATAACCCAGGAGCCTAGAAAGGTAATGAGTGGTTTCAAATCACCCATAGACACCATAGTAAATGGAAAAGCTTTTGTCAACATCTTTAATGCTTTGAGTTGGTAAATTATTAACAGAATATATGTGGAGTTCTCAGCGTTTCAAATATACTTACTTTCTGAACAAGAACATTGGAGAACAGCCTCTCTTGCCAACTCCTAGGCTGCATGTGTTCACTCTCCTGTCCCTGCCTCTGTCCCTCACCCGGATTGTGTTGAGCCTTCCTTCTGTTACGGAGGGGGCGTCTCTCCACACAGCTGAGGCCCCTTTGCTTCTCCTGCAAGCGTACCCTTGTGCCGGCTTTGTCGTGTGACCAGTTTCGTTCCATTCAACTCCTCCTCTCCTGGTATGTGGGGGAAAGATCACAATGTGAACAAAAATAAGCAAAAACTGGGATTCCAGTGGAGGCTTTGCCACTCACTTGCAGTAAATCATGTAACTTCTCAGCCTCAATTTCTTCACCTGTGAATCAGGGACAGTTACACTGTGAGTTAGGTACATTTCAGAGAGGTTGTCAGAATCAAGTGACATAATCCTCATGAATAGGCTGTGAACCTTATGATTCTCAGTATTGACAAATTGTATTGCTTGTGTCGATGTTTTCCCTTCACAGGAGGCTGACACACATCCACTCAAATGTTCCAATTCTGACTGACTCAGGAGGCAGGAAGAGCAAGCCCGCATGCCAGTGAGTAGAATGACCCATGCGACACATTCCCTGGAAAATACAGAGGGTGGTATTTTTTCACTAGCAAACACAGAGAAGCAGACCCTGTTATTATTTTCACAGCAACATTTCCTGACTTCTACCTGGCGTTCTGAGTAATGTCCATATGCTGGTGGCATTCATTATTCATGAGGAAAGTGGAAAGATTCAGAAGAATAAAGCAAGGATGAGCAGAAGAGACAGGCTGTACTTTATCAAGATTTTTTAAAAAGGGCTCTGGCTAAGACATTCTTATGATTATGTCTGTGGGACAGAAGACACTGTCCTGAGACAGAAGACAATAAAATGTATTGTCTATTACTGTCACTAACTTGAGGATGCTGGGAAAAATACGTGATTTCCCTGAGCTTAGTTTTCCCCATCAATAAAATGGAAATGATACCTACCTATGAGTATTGCTCTGAGTATTAAATGGGATAACACACAGAGTAAGTAGCACCCAAGGATGATGCTATGTGTATGCTCATGTGTGTGTGTGCATGTGAATGCATGCACTTTAATATTACCCAGTTTCTGGTTCACTGAGGAGCCACACATCCCACTGGTGACTTATTGACCACTTATAAATCACATTACTGTGCTGTGAGGCTTAGGATCTAGACGAGAACGTAGGAAAGACAAGGGCCCAGAAAACTAGGAAGAGTACAGATGGAAAGTAAATAAAACTGCTAAATTCAGACCATTATTGTCTGTAGATACTAAGGATTATTTGAGTTCTTTGGGACCTGAAAAATTCACAGAAGTTGTGCTTGATAGGCAGGATCATGGAGAATGACTATGTTCTGAAATGGGGAAGAAATTGCAATTGTAGAAGGAACAAGAATAAAGGAACTGCTGAAGAAGTAGGAAGAAATTCAGACTGGCTAGCATGGCGAGCCAGTGGTTACTGGTTGGGTAACAAGGTAGGGTCAGGCAGCCTTTTCAAGAAAGCTGCTGTTGGCTCCAAACCAAGAGAGTCTACCTGGCCATTGCTCATGAAGTCTTGTTTCTTAAGACATCACCTGCAATGCGCAATGCCCAGGGACACTGCATTAACACATGACATACAGAGAAAGGCCTGGCCTTTCTCTTTGTAAAGAAATTCCTGTTGATCAACGATATCTACTAAGTGGTTTTGATGTGTTAGGTATCAAGAAAGCTTATGAAGAAATTAGAGAACATGCAAGGTACCTGGCTAGAAGAAGATGATTCTAATTATAGGATAAAACACACGTGTAAGGAGAATAAATCTTTACAGAATAGGCAAGCTGCATGTTTTAGGAAGGAATACCTTTTTTAAAAAAATGGTGACATTCTGTGTTGTTGAAAAAGGCGGGGTTGTTGTGAGGTTGATGTGTGTGCAGAGCAGCTTTTGGAAACCCTGAAACCCTGAAACCCTGAAACCCTGTTTTGACTGTTCTTTGCCTGACTCCGCAGAGGCCCCCTCAGCCCGGGAGCAGTAGGCAGGCCACCGTGTTTCCTGTCTGCCTGGCAGCTTACTTGTCCTATTTTGATCTTGCTCCATCAAAGCAACAATGACGTGTTCGACGATGTTTTAAAAACCCTCTTGCTCATCTTCTTTCCTGTTCATGGATCATGCTTATCCGCTTATTCCTCCTCAGCCTTACTCCTGGTGAAAGTTTAAGAATCCCTTCCCTCGGTTGCTGACAGTTCATTCTCCTCCTCCCAATTTGCACAATGTTCTGGAGGAGGACTCCTGAATGTCCCCTGCCTCTCAGTGTTAGGGCAAACAAAACTCTGACCAGCAGTTGGCTGCATCAGCAATTCAGAATTAGAATGGACATATAAATGTATGGATAAATACCAAAAAGTGGTGTTATTCTTGAAAACGAGGTTAAATCATAGCTGTAGAAGGTTTTTATATTCTAATGCAACTAAGAGAAACAAAGAGAGCCACCTGCTTCCAGTCAGGTACCTGCCACGTCTTCAGGAAGGCGAAGACGCGAAGATGACGAAGATGGCCCACGGAGGGGCTCCCGTCAGCTGGAGCCGCCCATGGGCGCTGGCTGTGCCTCCTCTTCCTTCAGCCTCCTGCAGAGCTGGGCACACTGGGAATGCTCATTCAGAGCTTTGCGTGCATGAGGAAGTGAGCAGACTCCGGAAAGCTTTCACGGATTACAGGCAGCATCAAGCAGATCCAGAGTCTTCTGAAGTCTAACTTCCAGATTTAATGGAGAATCACTGTGGCTCTGTAATGTCCCTGGACCCATCACAATTTCTGGTAGTTTGGTGTTTCCTTTGGAAGATACCAATTAGCTGAGGCTTGAGACTAGAAAGTGCCTGTATAGCTTTTGTTCAAGAAATGCTATTGGTGGTTGCATGGTCTTTTTATTCCCAGAGTTTTCTTCTCTCAGACTCCTTGACATTAATATTATATGTAATTTTAAAACACCTTTAGAAGTTTAACATTTACATTTCATATATAAATTGTAGCATTTAGCATGTGAGCTAAGAATCTGTATCTATTTACTTTCTAAATAAAATACGCATAATTTCTCACAGGGATAAAGGAAGACAGTATTACATAGAAAAAAATACACATTGTAACTTTGTCATAGTAATGTCCTTGGGGCTATCATTATTTTTAGAAGAAAAGAAAGATCTGTTTGTCACTTGCTCTAAGTAAGAACGGGTGGGGGATAGAGTCACCTTCTTTTATTACAAAGGAGTCATAGTTAGTGTTTTTCAAGCATTTTTCTCTCTCCTTTCTACCAACCAAAGAGAACAAAACAAAACATAAACTCTAAAAACGAAACAACTCACAACAATAACAGAAGCAATAACAAACACAACAACAAACAAAGGGTTTAGGTAGAATGCTACCACAATTAGATCAGCAAATGAGATTTTCTGATGGAATTTCAAGTGGCTTATATCATTCCAAGGAGATACTTTATATGTTGCTACCAAAAGAAAGTGGGAGACAGGAAAAAAGAAGAGAAAGAAACAAGGAAAGAAAAAGTTCTGTGCCTGAGACAGTGTTTCCCGGTCGGGATATTCGGGGTAAGGTGTCCAATCATGTTTTATAAATACAATGAAGAATTCTAATAAGGACTTAAAAATGAGTGGGACTCCTCTTGATTAGTTGTAGATTTTTTTCTCACTTCCAAAATCCCTAATGTTTTAAACTTTTTGAAAGAGGATTGCTTCCTGTTAGCTTATAAATGCCTCAACATGTGGGTGTATGGCAAACCATTCCAATTTACCCTCAGAGAAATATTCTTTAATTTTGACTGTTCTGGTTCTCCATTTGATTTTTTGTGTGAGAATCCTCAGCTCACTCTGCTTTTCTGCCTTTAAATTCACTCTCACTGGGTGAACTAATTAATTCTCACGGCTTTGACTGCTGTTCATGGACTCATTTTTATACCCACCATTGACATTTCAACTATTCCTCAGTCCCATGTCTTAATCAGGGGTAAGAAATCTGCATTTAGATCTATTTTTCTCATTTAAGAAAAATACGATAAAAATTGAACTGAACTCTCTTGGTTCCCTTGATAAAATCAATGATGCTATCACTTATTGAGTTTCTTAATTTCACAAATATTTACTTGCCAATTTTCTACCTATTGTGCTAAGGTCCAGTGACCAAACAGGCACAATCCCTGATCTCCGGAGTATTAAAGCCCATATGTAGAAATGTATTAGTAAAATAATAACACAAAGGTATAATGACTAATGAAGATAATGGCCATGGAAAAACTATAAGTTCCCGCAAATGTACAAAAGAAAGACCTCGGTTAGTCCAAACAGTTAAAGATGACTTTCCCGGCTGCACTTCCTTTAACTTCCATATGCAGTCACTAGGCCCTGTTGGCTACATCCCCATTTTTCTGGCCTCAACCCTATTGTGGAAGATCAGAAACCTCAATTCCTGATGCTTGGATTACTCCAGTTGGATCCTGGGTGGACTCTCTATTGCAGACCATCAGCATATGGCTGCCATGTTAATATTCTTAAATGTCCATTTTTATCACTCACTCCCCAACTTAAGAATCTTCAATGGACCCATATAGTCTGTCGGACAGAAATCAGGCAGATTCCTTTGCCAAAACACTTCCCTTGCCCTAACCCAAAGCATTTCCATCACCGCCTCCTTATTCAGCTTTACCTCTACTGCCCTCCACACCCAGAGTGCAGCCTCCCTTCCCTTCTGTACTTTGCACCTTCTAGATATCAGTGATTTTCAAACTGTGAACTCTTATTAAAGAGAGGGAAATAACCAGTGAGAAATATTAAAGGTGGAGAGAGGTGAGAGCGGAGCGCTCTTCTCATTGCTGTCTGCGTTGGATTTCTGGGTAAGATTTCATTTGAAGAAAGGGGTCCAAAGTGAAAAATACTTGAAAATCTATGTATCATTGAAGTCTCCATTAAGATTCATCTTCCCTCCCATGTTCCTTATGAAGCCCCTCCCTCAAATGCTGACTTTTCCCTCTGCCTTCAACACTGTCCTCCTAGGTGCTATGTCCTTGCTTGGCAATTGCCTTGCTTTCTATTCTTAATGCCTCCTTGAGCCCTGTTTTTTCTTTTTGTTTTTAAATCTCTTTTGCATTCCCTAAAATTTTTTACCTTCATATAAATGAATGAATGAATGAATGAATCTATAGACACACTATGAGTACTCTATGGTTCTTTCAGCTAGTGGAAAACTTCTGTTTATAAAATTATGTTTTTAATCCACTCTCTGTTTTCAGCAACCAAATAGGTAGAAATTATCAGTAGATCAAAGACATCCTGTTTGGGTGTTCCTGCCATATGGGGGTGAGTCCATATAGTTGGTCAAAAAATAGGAGGGAGGGTTTGTGAGAAGAACGTCCTTCCTGAAACCTTACTCACTGGGTTCAACTTCCTGTCTGGCCCTGTCCTTTTCACTCCCCGCAAAGTTTGCAGGACCTATTTGCCAATCTGTATCATGTAGGTTAAAGCGTTGTATCTTATCTCTCAGGGCAGAGTGGAAATCTTTTTCCAGGACTCAGGTCTACTTTGTTAAATTGGAGTAATGTGAGTTTAATTGGATCACAAATATTGTTAGCACTTATTAGTCAAGTCTGTCCCTGATAAGGGGACCCTGTTACATCCCAAATTCCCACTAAGAATGAACAAAAAAGAGAACTAGTCTCTGCAGTGGCTTCACCCCTAAGCCCCCCAAAACCACATCTGATAAGCTATGTAATTTCCTATAGCAATTTGTGCCGAGAATAAAGGCACACTTTTGCAGAGTCACACGTTTCTAAGAAAAGACTAAATTCTGTCTGATGTTAACCCAGCTCCTTTCCTTTCTCTGTCAAACGTGATGTTCATGGATAGAAAATCCAAGTTGCATCTTAGGGCCCATGCCATCGCTGTCCCTTGGCTAAGTGGCTATGTCCATCGTCCTCTAGTCACCCCAAGCTACTTTTGCAGTCACACTGAAACCTGAAGGGTGAGCAGAGGCAACAGCAGTGGTCTGTTTTACAACACCCCAGTAACATGATGTTTTTAACAGCACAGCAGATTCTTGGCCGATGGCCCTGGTTAAAGGAAGAGAGGCACAGAATCTTCGAAGTCATCAATTTTAATGAGCACTGAAACTATTCCAGTAAACTAGATCCCTTTGTTTTTGTTTGCCTGACAAAGAAACCTGATACATCCAAGACATTTATTCCCTTTTAGTTCAGCACCAGGACAGGAACTCGCTTTTTTGCTACCAATATTAGGCCCCCAATGGTGATCGAAATTCTTGTGCAGTCTTTTGGAGGAAAAGAACAAAAGAGGCTACAAGGAAAACAACAACAACAACACATACCAACTTCTGAAAAATTCAGGGTTTTTTTTTTTTTGGCTCAGAGGTTAAACATGAATTGTTAGAGTTCTCTTTCAAAGTTGGCGTCTGCCAGGGTCTTTCATAGGCTTGGATAGCTTTGTGGATGTTATAACAGAAATAAAGAATTTCACCTGCATTTTCAAAGGCAAGGAAAACAGTGATGTGCGTGCTAGTGTGTGTGCATGAGACAGAGAGACAGAGAGAGAGAGAGAAGATGAGAATGTAACAAATGAACTGAAATATTCTGAAGGAGTATTTCTGAATTTTCTGGGACAGTCACACTGGGATACTATGTAATCTCTAAGGTTCATGGTGAGATAAGCAGACAGGTAAATTGCTCAAGAAGAGATGTTTGTGTATCAGAGAAACAACAACCCAGTCTGTGCTTCTAATCTTTTTTCGCCTTTGTGCAAACTTGTTGAACTCTTTTTCCAAATCTGAAGGCAACAGGCAGGCATTTGTTTTTAACTTCTCAAATAAACTAAAGTTCAAAGTCCTTGTACAATTCACTAAATTACCTTCCTCATTAGTAACAGATTCATAGCAAGGGCACGCTGTGCCATCTCTTATGAATTTTTCTATCAAAAGAAATTCCTCCTCTTTCTTCGTTTTTGGTCTGTTGAACATTTTTTTTTTTTTTTAAATAGAGGAGGAAAAAAAAACAACCCAGCAAAAATTACGCAAATGGCAAGGTAGTGACAGGGCATCTATCAAAGTGGCTCTGGAAATTCCAATTTTTAAAGTGCTATAAAAATATCATTATTAATGATGATTGACTGGGTTTTCAGAGCCAAGATCTTTCAAGGCTGCTAAGTTAGAGTTGAATGCAAAAGCAGGGGTGCTAAAATGGCTTCGGGGGTCCCTCACTTTGTTTCTTCATTGATTTTTAAGTAACATGTGAGCACAGTCAAATTGATGATTTTCATTTCGAATTAGTTTGGCCTTTGTCATGAAGAGCCTTCCATCTTTTTCTGACTGTCAGTGTCTAATTCATCTTCATCAAGTCCCCAGCAGGAAGATTCAGATCTTATTACTTTTTGTTTTACAGTTTGATCGTTTACAGGAAATTGGGACACAGAAAAATAGAGCGGAACCTACCCCTATTTTCAGTAGCAACACCAAATGGAAAGAGATCTGTGGGCCTAGCAGAAACCCCTGGATTGTGGCAGTCCCAGCAGGTAGGAGAGGTGAGACTATAATCTAATATTTTTTTAAATTGTTTTTGTTTCTTTCAGATTCCTGAAATATCTTAGCTCCCAATCTGTGCAAATCTGATCCCTGGTACCTGTTGTCTTTATAAACTTCAAAGCTCCCCCCATTTTACAGATGGGAAATCTAAGGTTAAAGAAAACCATGCACCCAGTTGACAAGGCCGCTTTAGATTTCAGTATGGTCAACTGTTTCCCTGGAAGTCTTGTAGTTTTGCTCTATTTTCAGTATTCGCCAAGGGAAATGGCAAGTGTGGTTTTTGTAAAGTATAACTAAAATGTGCTTGAAAAACATCACAAAAATATTGTTCTGTTTAGGTACGGCTCCAGGTCCAAGTGAGAGGACTTCTTTAAAGGACATAGAGAATAAAATACGAAACCAACAAAACCAATCATTGACTGAGCAAAATGGTGTCTTTTCTACCCTCTGAAACCCCTTGACCCTCAGCCCTCTGCTTGGCGCGGCTCGCCCTGCTATATTCCCTCTGAAGCCTCACTCACTCTCCGGTCCTCCAGGAGGGCCAGCTTGTCCTCTGACACTTTGCCAAAAATGGAAAAAGGAAGAGTTTAAAAACTGTCAACCAGGAAATTTTTTGTTTGTTTGTTTTTTAAAAAAGAAAATTTGCCAACCTAGCCAAGAAATTTTGTCTAAGTTACAGACTGTCAGTCTTTATAATCACTCTTTGTTCTTTTGCTTTTCCGAATCCCACATTTTCACTGAGGGTAGATAATCTTTGGCATTATCCTCATTGGCCCAGCTTAGCTTTCGCTCCCTTGGGGTCCTGCTGACTCTCTAAACTTTCAACTCCTAAACCCAGTGCTGGCTCACCCAGGAAAGAAAAAAAAAAAGCAAATTGAACAATAAAATTCAAGCTGTAGCTTCCGTTGTGACTCAAGAGCAGAAAATGTTTTTAATGGCCAAGAGCACATAAGTGCCATTAATCACCAAGAATTTATTATTTCTCATTGGGGGCCCCAAGGAAACATCATTTTGCCCAACTCCATTACTATCTGGGATTTGAAAAGCTTTTCAGAGGCAATTGTCTGATTGAATATTTACCTAGGATTGAAAATTTCAGAAATTCTTTCATAGGAATTAAATATGCCCAAAAGGAGAATGTAATACTTTTTCTTCCTTTCTTTTCCTTTTCATTCCTCCCTCATGTTTCTCTTCCTTTCTTTCCTTAGCAACTCTTTTGCTGTGTCAGCCTTTCTATGCATGATCAGTTTGCTGTGATCTATGGAAAACTCCCACCTCAGGAATTTGGAGCCTTGGGTTAAGTCTTTTTATTCGTTGAGTCCAGGCTACTGATTTTTGTTTTCAGACAGCCTCAAAGGTTTCTGTTGTATCCACCAATTTTTATTCTTTGAGTTGCGTAGATAAATTAGAGCACTTCAGGGGATGGATCTTTGCAGGTATGTTTTCAGGAACACTTTTCTTTTTTTAAAAAAAATTAAATTTATTTATTGATTTGAGAGAGAGAGAGAGAGAGAGAGAGAGAGAGACTGATTTGTTGTTCCACTTATTTATATGTTCATTGGTTGATTCTTCTATGTGCCCTGGCTGAGTGTCAAACTCTCAGCCTGCAACTTTGACATATCAGGATGACGCTCTAACAAATTGCCCAAATTTGTTAGAGAACACTTTTGTAGTGTGTGTATAAGACATTAAGTATTATTTGGATGTTCATATAATAAGTTGAGAGGGCACCTTTTTTTTCCTTTTTTTCCCCCTCATGTTTCTAGAGCAATAAAAAAGTGGTTCAAAGAATGTTATAAATTCATTTGTTGGGAATTCTTGGAATAAATAAGAATAACTGATTTGGGGAAACTAAGTAAATATTTATCATAGCAAACCCACATTTTCAGTTTCATGCAGAAGAGAGCTGAATTCCTTCATGCACAGAGGTCAGATCAACAGCTCGTGTTGAGCAATAGGGGCTCCAAACCTGTTCTCTGATATTGAAGGGACATGACTTCTTGGAATAGATGGACTATAACTAGAATGTTTAAGATGCAAGTACAATTTTTTTTAAAAAGGATTCTTCTTTCTCTGGGTTGAGATTAACGAGTTTAACATTACAGAGCATTGTCATTTCATACGCTCCTTTCAAGCAGAGAAACACTGCATGTATGGAAAGTCTACGCTGTGCCAGGCTTTGTCTGTATTCTCCCCATATCCTTGCAGGGGGCTGGGGAGCATCATCATCTCATATCAAAGATGAGGAAACAGACTCAAAGGGGTTAGGGACCCAACCAGTGTCAACACAGCAGTAGCAGTGCTCAGAAGGTTTATGTGACTTCCAATCGATTCTCTTTTCTGTTACAATCTATTGCATCCAATATGAAGGATAGCTAATTTGATATCTACCATTACTACTTACCTAGGCGGGTACATTTTACAAAAGATCCTAACTCTTCTAATGATCTGCCAGCCAGGGGTGGGGGCCCACTGCCTTTGGCTAACCTGTCTCTTCAGGAACCTTGAGGACGAGCAGAGTGCCTTCTCCCCTATCCATATTGCCTACTAAAAAAAGGGCAGCTAGAGAGGCCACTCCAGAGTCTGAGCTTACGTCAAAGTGTCCAGGGTGAGGAGAAGGTCAAGGCATGCAAGCCCTGTTGTATCGGGTATAGTTAAGTTAGGCCACGTCATCCTAAGTTTTCCTGTGATCTTCAGATTCTGACCCTTTCATGGGCCATTGCATAGCACAACCTCAACTGACAAGATCAGAACAAGTTCTCAGGGCATGATAGTGGTTCTGGCCCTACGTACAACTGTAAAATACCGGGCATATTTTCTTTCATTTCTGTTGCACAAATTCTCCTTTCATGGGGCACCCTGGACCATCATACTCTTTCCATTTTGCCCTGAACACAGCCTGCTCTGATGAGCTATCACTTGGAAAGAATTTAATCAATCACATCACCACTTGCAGGAATGACTGTGGTGGTGGAATTTCAGGTATCAAGGCAGGCCAGTGAAGATGAAATGTCAAAGCTACAGAGGTTTCTTAATACCCTTTAACATATAGGGCATAGGTGATCACCCATTCTTGGGTCATCCCCAGGTAAGGCTAATCCTGGAGGGAAATGGAAGAAGACTAATGTTGATGACTGAAAGGTGCTTGACCACAGTGTGCTCCTGGGAAAAACGAAGAGTTCTCTTGCTGGCATGTTTTCTCTCTGTCATCTTCTAAGTCACTCTGTTAGGAACTGTCATTTATATTGAGGCTGGTGGGGGTGGTGTAGGAGGCATTTTCTTTCCTGTACGTGGGTTCTCAGCCTTTGGAGGAAGGCAAGGATGATTCTCTTAACCATTGGAACTTGATCAAAAAATACTTTCTAGAAAAGAAAGAGTAATTATGAAGACAATCAGCCTAGGCAATACAGTGCAAAAATGTAGCACACTTTTAAAAAGTAGTCTGTTGATTGGCTGTAGTGCCAATAGAACCTGATGAAGTTTTCCTAAAGCCATTTCCATGTCTATTTTTTAAAACTTTTTGAAGGTTAAAACTTCTAAGATTAATTTTGGAGTTTCCCTAAAGTGTCAGTAGTTCACCTCTCCTCTACCTATTGTAGATTCTCACCTAGGGCAGAAAGACAATGCTAGTTTATAACATAACCTATGGTGTAAAAAACATTTTCTAGGGAGGAGGTTTCTTCCTCAGCCAATTCAGAAGCACTACTAACTCTAAAGTGCCAGGATATACTGAAGACAAAGGGACTCCTGCATTCTGTGGTAGGATACATAGATATATTTCTTTTGTTTTTGAGAGATTGGCCAATGATGCTTGTGGTAACTATAACTTGTTTCTCTCCTAAAGGAGAAAGTGAAAGTGCTTGAGGAACACCTCTGTAGATTCCACATTGTGAGAAGGATGTGTTGAGGAACACAGAAAGTAAGCCAGATGAAAAACAAGAAGAGGAGGAGGAGGAAGAAGAAGAAGAAGAAGAAGGAGGAGGAGGAGGAGGAGGAGGAGGAGGAGGAGGAGGAGGAGGAGGAGGAGGAGGAGGAGGAGGAGGAGGAGGAGGAGGAGGAGGAGAAAAATCTATGTCAACAGGTAGGCATAATGAATTAGATATTGTTTTTCATGGGTAGAAATCAGACATATTCATAATTTATTTTGTTTTGGTTTTTGCATTGCATCTTTCTATTAGAGCTTTGCTCTAGCTGTTTTATAATTATTTCTCTAAGACTGCCTACCCTCACTAGGTTATGAATTATAATACATGAGGACATGCATCTTCTTTATTTTTTGTATCATTAGCATCAATCATGCTGCTGAGCACAGAACTGACTCTCAAAAAGTGATTATTAAATAACAAAGTATTTTTATATTGTAGGATTTTTATTTTAAAACAATCACTTCTTGGGGAATACGACACTCTTGTGAGTTGTCTCAGAGAATTTAGGAGATGAATTGAACCAACAATCTGACCTGAGGGAAGAGGATTACATTATTGACTAATAAAGAGATGTCAACCTTTCTTACTGTAAATTGACTGAATCTGAAACATGAATATGGTGAAGTCAGCCAAAGAGGATACCTTGAAGTGGGGAAGATCAGACAAGACTGAATGAAGACTATTACAAGAACAAGATTCCAGAAAGACATGTTTTAGTCCGGCCAGCTTTGTGAAAGTACAACCCGTGGACTTGCATAGACTCCTGTGCTCAGAGGGTTAAGCATTTGGTTTCGTGCTCTCCTGATGAAGTCTTGAAATTCTTAGTATCTTTTGAACAAGGTACCATACAAGTTCATTTTGTGCTGGGCCTTGCAAATTAGGTAGCCAGTCTTGGCTCTTAGTAAGATGTTGGGACCCACAAGGGCCATGATCAGAGAGTCTGTACCCAGATCATACCTGAGAATGGCAGGTGAAGAAGCAGGC